AGAGCCATCACAGCACTAATCTCTTCACAATGCAGTGAGACAGAGCAGTTTAACAGATCAAACAGCAACTGAGAGTTCACACACACACACACACACACACACACACACACACACACACACAAAACTACAACCACACTGACACATCTCAAGTGAATAACCTGAGGCAGAGAAAGAAAAAGAGTGAGAGAATATTATTTTATAGTGATAGTTTTGGGAAAAATCTAATTCACACAGTTTTCTCTCTCAGCCCAGATGAAGCTGATGAGTCGAGACACTTTGGTGTTTAAAGTCTGCTTCTCGAGTTTTGCATTGGAGTTATGAGGCTATTGTAGCCGGTATGGCTGGCCCAAAAGCTTTTTACAGGCATCTAATACTCACTGGTGTTTCTGAAGGGGTAATCGAATACTCGATCTTAATACTACCCTTAAAAACAGAATTTACATTTAATAAGTAACCATGTTGCTTTTCTTTGCGGATGATGTCCTTTTGGCTTCATCGCATGGATGTATCCAGTGGTTTGCAGCTGAGTGTGAAGCGGTTGGTACACAGATCAGCACCTCCAAGTCCGAGTCCAAGGTCCTCGCCTGGAAAAGGATGGCATGCCCACTCCAGGTAAGGGGAGAGGACCTGCCTGCCCCAAGTGGAGGAGTGTAAGTATCTCAGGGTTTTGTTCACGAGTGATGGAAAGGGGGATCGTGAGATCAGCCGCAGGCTGGGACAGGCGGCAGCAGTAATGCAGTTGCTGTATTGTTGCTGTACCAGACTGTAGTGGTGAAGAGGGAGCCGAGCCTTAAGGCAGTCTACATCCCCTCTCTCACCTATGGTCATAAGCTTTGGGTAATAAATATTCTCTTTTGGACTGAGATCTGGATTTTGACTCCGGGGCATTAAAATAGTTTGACTACCTGAGGTTTTCCTTCAGGATTTCCCTGTGTTTTGAACCATTCAGTTTACTCTACACCTTCCAGGCATTCCAGAGCACCCTGCAGATGCATCCCCACAGCATTATGCTGCCACCACCATGCTTCATATCGGGGACAGTGTATATATGATGTGTAATGATGGCTTGTGCTAAACATGACCAAAATTTAGGCCTCATTATAGGCTATTAGACCCTCACTAGCCTCCTTATTGCATCATCACTCAGTTTTTGTGGCTTGCCTGTTCTTGGCAGATTTACATGGCAGATTTACCTCTATTCTCTACTCTTATATAGTGAAGTCATTGCCTACAGTCAAATACAAAAGTTTGAACACCTCCGGCCAAATTACATGATTGATTTTCAAAGTGAAAATGTTAACACCTCTGTTACAGAGAACTTAAATATGGCATTTTTCTGCAGCTATTTATTTCTAATTTCTATTTAGTTCTTTGTAGATGATAAGTTAACTTGTTTTCACTTCAAAAATTAATGAGACTTTACAAAAGTAATGTCACGTATGTGTTATTAAAATGTGAGAACCCCTAAATTAAAACACTTTCATGGATCCCTGCGAGCAACATTATGCTGAGCAGCAATACCATTTGTTGTTATTTTTTTCAGAAAGAAGAAGCATTGCCGTTGATGCGATGCTAACGTTTAAGCTAATTACATGTTAGCTATATAAGTCTTGTAGCACCTGTACAAAACTAAAGAACCTCAAACGCCAAACATTTCTTGGCTGACTGATTACATCTGGGATAAGGGGAAAAATGTGTGACTGTTTTGCTTTAAATTGAACATGCAAGCTCTTCATAATGTTATTACAGGCAGCACAGGCCTGCAGGAAGCTGTTCATAATGATAACGATCGCACTGATGACCATAAAGATGATCCCTAATCGTGACACCTCTAATGATAATGAAAAAGATGCCCAGAAAGATCAGGAAGGCTCTGTTTTCATCAGTCTCAGTCGAAGGCCTCAGCCCCTCTCTCTGTGCCTGTGGGTAGCCTGGCACTGTGTGAGAGGCACTGGCAGGCTGGCACTCACTGGCACCTCACTCGGTGGAGCTGCTGGAAGTGGGTAATCAGCGAGGCGTGGGCCAAAACCGGGACGTTTCTAGAGAGTGTTAAGCTACCGCGCAGTGTGGAAAATCTAATCTAAGGTGTGGGAAAATAAACCCCAGCACCTGCAAAAAAGAACCAGCAACCAGCAGAGAGACAGTGAAGAAAGAAACAAAGAGCAGAGGAGAAAAGAGTGGAAAAGAAAGGGCAGACAAGATGCAAATGGAGATACAATGACATAGATTGCAATAAAGACAGTGAGAGCTGAAGAATAACTTGTGCTTAACTGACTCATGACTTGACTCGGATGCTCTCTTAAATGACTCGCGATGATTCGACTCGGACTCACACTTGACTGACTTGCGACTATTGCTTAACTGACTCATGACTCGACTTGGACGCTCTCCTAACTCATTCATGACTCGACTTAGACTCACTCTTAACCAACTCAACTTGGACTCAAATTAAATGACTTATAACTTGACTCAAACTTGCACTTAACTGATTCCCGACTTGACTCATATGCACACTTAACTGACTTGCGACATGACTCAGACTCACTCTTAACTGACTTGTGACTCAAACTCACTCTTAACTGACTCACAACTCAGACACATTCTAAAATCTCTCTTGATTCGACTTGGACTCACACTTAAACGACTCGCTACTCTACTCAGATTCATGTGACTTGACTCGGACTCCCACTTTTAACTGACTCCCGACTCTACTTGGGCTCATGCTTAACTGATTCACTACTCAACTCAGGCTTATGCTTAACTGACTCTTGACTCGACTGATTGTATTAGGACCACCAACCTTAATGCGGTAAATGAATTAAACCAATTGTTTCCAGTCTTATGTATGTGATTTGACTTTCAGCTTTACTATGGTCATGCACAGTGTTAGGGTTTGAGGGCATTGCATTGTGGGTATTGCATTGACTTTATGTTATTACCTCAGACTCAAGTCACAGGTCACTTTGACCTGACTCTTGGCGTGACTTACACTTGTGCTTAACTGACTCATGACTTGACTCGGATGCTCTCTTAAATGACTCGCGATTCCACTCAGACTCACACTTGACTGACTTTCGACTCAGACTATTGCTTAACTGACTCATGACCCGAATAAAATGAATAAAACCAATTGTTTCCAATCTTATGTATGTGATTTGACTTTCAGCTTTACTATGGTCATGCACAGTGTTAGGGTTTGATTATGCATTGTGGGTAATGCATTGACTTTATGTTATTACCTTGGCAACTGTAGTTACTGTCATCATGCAAAATGTTGGCACTCTTGTTTTTTTAGTTTATTACATGAACTATTTGCCATAAATGCATAGTACACAACCAACATTCCTAGTTCAACTCACTCTGGCCCTAAAGCTAGTTACAAGGAAAGCTGCCCTGGAGGCAGAAATCAGGGAAGGTAAACAGCTGTTATGCTAGCTAGTATGCTTACAAGCTACAGAATAACCAACTCTATGAATCCGAAGCACAACTAACAACAGAAATACCACTACTTCTGTTCGGAAGGACATGCTATGATGCAGAAAAGAAGAAGCAGAAAACATTAGTCTTACAGCCAAACCAAAAGACTTCACCGCTATGCTTTGATATGCTATGTACAGTTTGTCACTGTTTAGGCCATTTATATAAAAACAACTTAATTATTCAATTAACTGTCAGTAGACTACTTGACTATTAATATAATTGACAGACAAACTACTTATAATACTTAATTTTGTCTGACTTAACCCATTCATGCCCAACAACTACATTTAGTATGATGAGGAAACATGCCAGAGAAATGGCTCTGATTGGTGTAAAGTTCTGAAATATTGGATACTTGTACCTTGGATAGATGTCTAACAATGGATTATTTTACATTAATCTTCATACTTTTATTTTCAGTTAAATCATGTTTTGTTAAAAAGCAGAAGCCTCAATTTATCAAAAGGATACATTTAATAAGAAAACCCACTTTTTAACCACATGGTTTGATCAATATGAAAAATTTCTTCTGTAATTCAGTGAAAATTCTGACAGTTTAAAGGAAGTTTAAAATTTCTGAAATCAACATTAATGGGACAATAATGAAATGATATTAAAGGCCCCATATTATAGGAAACCTAATTTCCCTTTTTAAGTAATTTATAAACATTGTTACTGTAAACTGTTACCGTACACAAGTTTTAAAATGTACTGTTCATTCTCCAGTCCATACAGTCCAAGCATGGGAATTAAGATGCAAAACCAGCCTTTTTAAATTCAGTATTTTTTTGATGTCAAAAAACCAACACATTTACACATCACTCAGCCTATAGCAGTTTAGCCTCGCCCATTTAGACTGAAGTTCTAAGGAGTGTTTCAGCTCTGCATGCTTTTTGTATGAGGCATGATCTAATTTACATATTTCAGTCTTAAAGATGCAAAACCATGTTAATTCTAGGGCATAAGGAGAGATTGGAAAAGAGACATGTAAACATGAATTTTGACTGTTTTTGCTAGATAAAACCACTAAATGTCAAGAGTGGACACGTAGGATATGAGCTCTTTAAAGATATAATTAATACAGATTAGTCTGGTAAGTGATTTTTAATTGACCACACTTCACGGTTACACTGTGAGATAAAATCTGAACTCATTAGGTACAAATGGTGGTCTAAGACCTCCTGGCATAATGAATGAGTTACTGGAGAAGCTGCGCTAGAGTAATGGAGGTCTGGCCCCAGTTCTTATAACACATTCATCGATTAGTGTCAAACAAAAGGAAAGAGGTTTAGTCAACAGATAGAGGGATGGAGAGACGGAGGAGAGATTTTGGGAAAGAAGGGCAAAAGTGACAGTAGTCACACGTTATTGGGTCTGACAGGCTGCTGACCTGTGCGGCTCTGATATTTGTGCAGAGAGGAAAAGAGCTGATCTGTATGAGTGTGTGTGTGTGAGTGTGTGAGTGTGTGTGGTGTGTCTGCGCGTGTGATTGTGTGTGTGTGAGTGAAGAACACACTCACCTCTCCTGCCCTCTCTCTTCAGTCTGGCTGGGTCTTCATAGTCAGGGACCCAGTTATACTCCACAGGCATAGAGATGGGCCTCAGGCGGCCTGAAACACAAATAATTAGGGACGGGTGATCCTGACTTTCTATTCAGTCTAAAACTGAGAAACACAAAGGCCAGGATCTCATACCCATACTTTCAACAGCCATCTTGCACACATAAAAAAGGATATCTTATTGGCTCCCTTGGTAAAAATGTACTTGTGGTTAATTAGCTCAGTCTAACAGAATGACTAAAGGGAATCTGACCACTGAGTTACCTCACACTTATACCCCAGGGGAACAGCCATCAAAGACCACTGAAGAGTTCCTGAACACTCAAAAAGTTACTATAAATGGAAATACACTCAGTTATATTCTGTTGGCCCATCTCTACATATTGGCCACACAGGTTCCTATATTTCACATTTATTTGCATTTTTTAAGCATATAATGTAAAGTCAATTCCATTAAAACAAATAGTAAAATACAAAAGACAGTGACAGAGAGAGAGAGAAAGAAAAAAGAAAGACACGGAAAAAAGAGAGTGAAGGAAAAGAGAAAGACAGAGAGATGGGAGAGACAGAGAGACAGACAAAGAGAGAGAGAGAGAGAAAGAGAGAGAGAGAAAAGAGAATGACATGGAAGAGAGAGAGAAGGAAAAGAGAAACAGAGAGAGACAAGAGAGAAGGAAAAGGGAGAAACTGGAGAGATAGAGAGAACAAGGAAAAGACACAGGAAGCGAGAGAGAGAGAGAGAGAGAGAGAGAGAGAGAGAGAGAAGGAAGGAAAAGAAAAAGAAAGAGAGAAAGAAGGAAAAGAGAGAGAGAGAAAGAGAGAAGGAAAAGAGAAAGAAAGAGAGAGAGAGAGAGAGAGAGAGAAGGAAGGAAAAGAAAAAGAGAGAGAAAGAAGGAAAAGAGAGAGAGAAAGAGAGAAGGAAAAGAGAAAGAAAGAGAGAGAGAGAGAGAGAGAGAAGGAAAAGAGAAAGAAAGAGAGAGAAGGGAGGGAGAGAGAGAGAGAGAAGGAAAAGAGAGAAGGAAGGAAAAGAGAAACAGAGAGACAAGAGAGAAGGAAAAGGGAGAAACTGGAGAGATAGAGAGAACAAGGAAAAGACACAGGAAGTGAGAAAGAGAGAGGAAGAGAGAGAGAGAGAGAGAAGGAAAAGAAAAAGAGAGAGTGAGAGAGAGAGAGAGAAAGAAGGAAAAGAGAGAGAGAGAAGAGAAAGAGAGAAGGAAAAGAGAAAGAAAGAGAGAGAGAGAAGGAAAAGAGAAAGAGAGAGAAAGAGAAGGAAAAGAAAAAGACAGAGAGAGGAGAGAGAGAGAGAGAGAGAGAAGGAAAAGAGAGAGAGAGAGAAGGAAAAGAGAAAGAAAGGAGAGAAAGAGAGAAGGAAAAGAGAAAGAGAGAGAGACGGAAGAGAGAGAGAGAGCGAGCACGAGAGAGAGAGACAGATCAAAAGCAGAGTGAGTGAGAGAGAGGGTGAGATAAGGTGCCACTCTTCCATGAACATCTGAAAGTGCACTCAGGCTGTGTGTCAGCGCTTCTGCAGAACGTCACAGCGGCAGCAGGTGTTCCGCACACTGTTCTCCTGAGTTTAATTACCGAACGTCTGAAAACCACTCAAGTGTTCTCCAAGCGTCTTACAGACACTCCCTCACACGCGCCTGCAGACCCTCGTACGCAGCACAGTCTCACACACCCTCCATTCTGTGGCACGTGGTGATGAGGTACCTGCAGGCGATTCTGCCAGACTAGCAGCTTTTCCAATCGATGCCCTGTTTCACGTCTCTTACTCTGATACAAGCTAATCAATCTGCTATAAGAGCAGAATCAGTAGCACTGCCTTCATGTAACACGAATCTCCACACTGAGCAGACGCTTCTTAAAAAGGAATTCCTTCTATTTTTCCATTTTTCTGTACGATTAAGTCATCAAGACATAAACAGAGTGGTCTTTCAGAGTGGTCTGATGTGAAATGCACTATTCTAGAGACACCTGTTCACAGCAGTGGTGATTGGAACCAGATGTCATACGTGTTAAAGTGGTATTTAGTGAGTTTAGACCAGGCCTTCAACATGGTGGTGGTAGTATGAGGGCAGACTGATAGAGGGAGGAGGGAGAACTCTGACAACTTGGGCTGGAGTTCTGTGTAGCTTCTGCCTGTATCTAGAAGGCCGGCCCCCCTCATAGCTGTAGTAGGACTGATGTAGGACTGAGGAACAGGGAAGTAGTTTTGTAGTTTTGAAGTCTTTTACTTTTGCCTGGTGCTGTATGTGTGATGTAAAGTGTGCACGTGTGCAACTTTGAGCTGCGTATGTGTGTGTGTGTGTACCGTAGGTGGGCGTGCTCTCCCGGCGAGAAGGAGGTCCTCCACGGTTCGGGTCGTATTCGTAGCAGTAGAGCACGGCTTCCTCCTCCATGAGCGGGAAGCGGCGGCGGTACTCCTGATCCAGAAAGGAGTTGGGCGACTCTGAGCCTTTGGCTGCGGGAATTCCTCCCTGACCTCTCTCATCACTGGGCAGATTCCCTTGCTCGTCCCTACACACATATCAAAAACACTCATCAGCCACGCACCGAGATATCTGGGCTCAGTCCTCTCTGCTGCCCCCTACAGGCAACTGAGAACAGCACTGAAATGGAAAGTAAACTGCTGCTGGATTGTCTGTAATTATAATTGTCATAATATTTTTATCTAATTATATAATTAATAACAAAGTTACTAATAGTGGGTGGTACACCAGTTCATCAGATATGCTGGTTCAAAGTCTTTCTAAGATATTAGCCACAAAAAACGCAGATAATACAGCACACAAACAGTGAAACGTGCTAACATTAGTCCCTTTAGCTGAATGGCTGAGTCAGTGATCTTTCATTCATGCTCCAAATGGAAATGAAAACACAGCAGACCCGCAGTGACCTCCTGGTGTCTAGCCGTTCCATCTGAAGCACTACTTTATTTTCAAGGCAGCGGACCTAAAAAAATGGCTTGTCGTTTGGGGTTAGCCTTAGCCTAACATGGATGCCAAAGCGATCGCTGCAATTCTGTTTCCTCTCATATTGCCTGACTCAGTCAGCTGCATCAGACGACGCAGCGGTCAGGCCTTGTACACAAAACAAGCTGTGGACCAGCTGGTACTGAAGCATGAATAACTGTAATATTTTCCAAACTGCTGCAGCGTCTGACGCTCACAGACCGGTGGTGTATAGGACGCACATATGAGAAATGACTCAATTTGGCTGAAATTGGCTTCTAATTTCAATTTCCTGTTCCACCTTAAAAGGTGCAGCAGCTACACTCAGGCAATAGTCCAGGTGCCAGAATGTAGATGCTACTCCATTTCAGGTGGAACGGAACAAAATGCTGCTGAATAAGAAGCCAACTTCTTCATACAGGAGACAATGTTAAGCACCATTGTTGTTGGGTTTGCAGGGTTAGAAAGCAATATTAATATATGTTTATCTATGTATTGTTTAGTTTTGTTTTTACTGATTTGCACAACAAAAATATTTCAGATTTACATTAGTTCTTAAATATGTTTCTTATTCTAAAGTGAAGGGACATCCCAGATTAATAAGCCACTGTTAATCTACAATAATAGGTATGTTTAAGTATCTAACAGTATATATGTGATGTCTGTTGTCGGAACAAAACCTCGTGGTAACTTTACGGTAGAAGAAAAAAAACTACTTTACTTTTAATGTAAGTCAATGGAACCAGAATTTTGAACCTAGTTATTTTTGGTAATTTCTTTTGGTCCATTCATCATAAAATTTACACACAATATAAAGGGTAACAGGTATTTTCAAATTATGTCTATATATAAACACCGATCAGACATAACATTACCTCCTTGTTTCTACGCTCATTGTCCATTTTATCAGCTCCACTTACTATATAGGTGCACTTTGTAGTTCTACAGTTACAGACTGTAGTCCATCTGTTTCTCTGCATACTTTGTTAGCCCCCTTTTACCCTGTTCTTCAGTGGTCAGGGCAGCCATGGACCCTCATAGAGCGGGTATTATATGGGTGGTGGATCATTCTCAGCACTGCAGTGACACTGACGTAGTGGTGGTGTGTTAGTGTGTGTTGTGCTGGTACGAGTGGATCAGACACATCAGTGCTGCTGGAGTTTTTAAACACTGTGTCCACTCACTGTCCACTCTATTAGACACTCCTACCTTGTCAATCCACTCAGACCAGCACAACACACACTAACACACCACCACCACATCAGTGTTACTGCAGTGCTGAGAATAATCCACCACCTAAATAGTACCTGCTCTGTGAGGGTCCATGGGGGTCCTGACCACTGAAGAACAGGGTAAAAGGGGGCTAACAAAGTATGCAGAGAAACAGATGGACTACAGTCTGTAACTGTAGAACTACAAAGTGCACCTATATAGTAAGTGGAGCTGATAAAATGGACAATGAGTGTACACACACACACACACACACACATTTTAGGCCACACTGCTTACTAGTTATAGTTACAAGATGAATTACATATTCATTCTGTATAAGCAAATTCATGATTCTGACTTTTCATGATTCTGATCCACTTCTGACTTTTTTTCTGCTTGTTGAATCTCAAATGGCTGAATCTCAAATGGCCTCCTTCTTTTGAAGTGCACAGCATATTTCTTAAAAATAGTGGCTCCTGCACCCAAACACTGCACATTATAACTATCAAAAAGCCATTTGAGATTCAGCACGAGCACACAATTCCATAATTGACAAAGTTTGGGCTCCCCTGGTCAAATTACATGTTTTTTATTTTCATTTTCTAAGTGAAGTTAAGTATGTATCCTCTATACCCTGCACATTTTAAGGCACAATTACTGTATAACATATTGTAAAAATAATAAAATATAAAATGCGGCCTGTGTAAAAGTTAAAGCACGTTTTATATTTACTGTTATATTTTTTCAATATATTAAATTCAGCAAATAAATAGAAATTGTGCACCAAAATGTTCAGGTTTGTTCCCTGTAACTTATTTTCACTTAGAAAATAAACAAAAGTTACACAGCTCACGCAGTGCATTATATATGGAGCCATCTGTGATTCAGCTGTTGTTTTCTTTCTTCAGAGCAACAGGAACATTTATCAAATCACACCTACAAACACCAATTAAACATTTAGAGTCCAAACTTTTAACAGAAGTTCTCTGCTTGATTCAAAGAGCTCTGAGTTGGGCTGGGCTCTGGCAGCAACTTAAACATTGTACATACATCAAGATACAAGCATCACGATACATTACGACACAGAACAGCGTTCCAGAGAAAGTCCCTGTCTGTTGACTCTGCAGCTCGAAAATTTTAAGGATAAAAAGTTTGAAGTACTGTTGTGTTACTGTGTTTCACTTGAGCGTTGCATCATTTGATACCAATGGCATGGCTTTCTTTGTACTACTCAAAAAACATGTAAGCAAAACTCAGCTTGAGGCAGCTGCTCCACAGTGTTAAGGTATTTCTCTCTGTTGTTGTGCAGGTCTGCCACGTGCTTATACATTATAAATATCATACTCTGAGACCTGAATGCAGTAGCTGGTTCTCTCAGACACAGCCTGAGCTTCAGAAATATTGATAGATCCATGAGCGTATTGATTCACATGTTGAGTTGCCAGGAGCTTCTTCACAATACACTGCTGTATCTCGGGGTGTCCCCCTGACTCAATCTGCGTACTTCAGCTGCTAAAGTTCTCACTAGGAGTAAAAGAAGGAAACATATCAGCCCCATTCCCAATCCTTACACTGGCTACCAGTATGTAGGTACTATTACTGATCTGTAAATCAGATCAGACATACGTATTTATCTGATATGCTGCAGCGATATGAGCCAGGCAGAACTCTCAGATCATTAGGAACGGGTCAGTTAGTTCTGCTGAAGGTGGAGACTAAACATGGAGAAGCATCGTTTAGCTACTATGCTGCTTTTAACGTTTAAACGTGCTTTTAAACGTTCCTATCTGAGCAGCTTTCAGCTCAGTTTAAAACACTGTTACCACTACTGCACTTCTCTCCTGAAACAGCACTATGTTCTCCTAATTTTCTTCTATTTTAAATCTATTGTTTATTATTACCCTGATAACAAGAGGACAGTGGGACACTGCTGGTCGACTGATGGCAAAGCTGGCGGTCCACTGGCTTTTTGCTCAGCGTTTTCCGGGTGGCCCACTGGTGGTTAAGCAGAGTATTAGACAAAATTCCACTTATCATTGCTCCGTTTCCACTCATAGCCCAAGTTACTTATTTTTCCTTCCTTCCTTTCTTTAGTTACACTTTGTAAATTAGTTTAGTAAATAATTTTAATCTAGCACAGGGTCAGCAACAATTTTTCTACACAATAATTTTCTATCAGATGTTTGTAATATTTGTCTTAGTTTTTTTTTCTAAAATCTGTTAGAGGAGATTAAAAACTAGTTAGAGCTTGTATGCAGGACAGTAATCCGAGGGTGGACCAGCAATGGCAAACAGTCAGTGGGGTGCCGACCTTATCAAGCCAGTGGGCCGATAAATGCTTCCTGTCTGGGTATGTTTCAATCATATTTTTAGTTTCTATTCTACATCTTTCTATATAGTAATTTCAAATATCTTCAGATTTTCTCATTTGTAAAGCACTTTAAATGACCACAGTGTATGAAAGGTGCTATATAAATAAACCTGACATGCTCTTACTGTCGAGTATTAGTTGATACTGATCCCACCTGATCTGACATTTGTGTTTTCATAGATAATACAGCTACATCACTTAGGCAAGATATGCTACACTGCCGATTTATAACACTTTTAAATCTAAAAAAAGAGTTATAAATCTAAATGTATAACTCTTTTAAATCTATTGTTTATTATTACCCTGATAGCACGAGGACATTGGGACACTGCTGGTCCACTGATGGCAAAGCTGGTCTTCAGATTTTCTCATTTGTAAAGCACTCTGAATGACCGCAGTGTATAAAAGGTGCTATAGAAATAAACTTGACACGCTCTTACTGTTGAGTTTTAGTCAATACTGATCCTACACGATCTGACATTTGTGTTTTCATAGATAATACAGCTACATCACCTAGGCAAGATATGCTAGGCTGCCAATTTCTAACACAAATTACTGTTTTAGTATGTGCATAATGTGACATTCTGGACTGATATGTTTAGTTTTTTGGCTATTTTTTTTTTTTTATTCATAGTGTGTTTAATATTGGCTTACAGCAAAATCTGATTGGCCTACCTGATTAATTTGGCTTCCAGTTACTTTAATATTGTGGCATTACTGCACGTGCAGGTTAATGGCTGCTTGTATTTATTGGCTCTCCTTTATGTCTTTCGTTTTATTGTAAGAAGCGTTCGCTCTTTAAAAGGCATGTGTTTCTTGCTTGGCCATACTAAACCACACTGGCATTTCCTGTGTTTTCTGTGTTTGGTGTTTACCATCACTGAGGGTGCGGCAGGTTTAGTTTACTCTCGTGTTCATAACGTTTTGAATACAGTTTTGAACACTGGTTTAAAACTTGAAGTGGCAGAACCAGGAAAGCATAGCATTTAACAATATTTTGGCCATTCTTAGCCTTTGCTACAAGAAAGAAATAATTTCAAACAATGTAAAATGTACATGTGGACCTAACAGGGTTAAAAGACAATGATAACCAGTTTAGTGGCTCCCCAGCGAAAAGAGCACCTGTGTTTACCTGGGCGTGTAGGGCTCAGATGGAGGAGGAGGGATGTAGAGATCCTGGAGGGCGGAGCTATCCCGTTTGGAGGGTGTGCTAATGGTGCTGGTGGGTGTGGCCGAGCTGCTGGTGGGGCTCTTGGGAGCAACAGGCTGTAGGTGAACAGACAGAAGTAATTAATGGCAGATCAGCAGTCACATCGATGTAAAGCCTGAAAGTCCTGATCATACAGTGCTTTACACCTCCACAAAGTCAGCGAGCTGTCAGAGAATAGAGCTTTACATCCGACTGCAAGAACTACAGACAGCCGTTTCAACAGAATCAGGGTTTAATAGGTCCCAGAGCAGAGAGAGCCTGGAGTGATTGCCGTTGGTAAAATGGACACTCCGGATCCTCTCTGTGCTCTTTCAGTGTCTGGGTCACTGAGCGCCGACATAATGAATGAGAGTCAGAAGGAACCAGTCCTGCCACTCCAAATAACGCAATGCTTTTAAATAAAGCAGGTTCGCTCTTGTTATTCGGCAGCACGACTGGAAAGTAATGGTTTAAGAATTTTTAGGCCTAATATTCATTACTATTAAGGAAAAAAAAATCTAAGTACTAGGCCTGTCACTATCAACTTTATATAATATATATTGGTTCAGAGTCATCCTGCCCTCCGCTCAATGACTGCTGAGATAGGCTCCAGCCCCCCACCGCGACCCAGAAGGATAAGCAGCTTAGAAAATGTGTGTGTGCTTCATAATCAGAGTTCAAAATACATTTTAATATTATAAGTTAATTTTGTTCTTTTTATTTAGATTGAATGCTCCACTTTGTTTCCATTTCCATTTTTTTTACCAAAACAATCATAACACCATCAAAACTTTAAGAAATGTTTCCGTAGTGTCTGTTTTGGTGAGAGTTTCAGCTCATTTTGAGCAGAACTCAAAAACACAAGCCAGTACATGACTAGCAAACACAGCTTTAAACAGTAATATACACATAAAATCATAATAATTTTCATTAAAAAAATACTTAATTGCTGAAAATATGTGTTTCAGTGGTGACAATTCTTAATGTTCCACACTAATTTTCAGACTTTGGGTCCGCATTTAGTTCAAAACAATGAGTCTAACTGCTCATCATGTGGCCATGAGGGACAGAGATGCAGTCTTACTTCCTGCTCTAAAATGCAGGGGAGTGGCTAAAATAAGCCTCCGCCCATGGACTAAGAGTTTTATTTAAAAATGAAACTCAGGATGAACACCGCTTTAAAAGAAATAAACAAGATCTTTGAAAAATATCAAAAATTGGAAGTGTTATTTTCACAAGTGTAAATTTAGGGGTTGGGGTCTGAGACAGACACCTCATAATAGAAAGAACCCTTTAAATTATGATTTTTTATATATTTAGCTTATTACTATCTCAATTAATGCCCTTAGTTTGCCCTTAGTTAGCACTTGTTTTTTAAGTGTTTTTAGTTTAGTTTTAAACTGTAGGACAGCAGTTTAAGCTAGTTCAGTAGAATGGTCCATATATGTTGTTGGTGTCAGAACAAAACCTTGTATATCCAAAACAATAACTTGAGAGGAGAAGGAAAAACACTATTAACTTGTAATGGAAGTTTGTGTAAAACACCCTTTCTATGGGTCTGTTCATCATGAGATTTTAACACAATGCAGAGAGATGGTAAAGTTTTCAAATTATGCAAAAATTAAAAACACCAGGGGCCGAAAGTGTCTTAAGAAAGGAAATCATCTTAAATGTGTGTTTTGTCCACCTTAGATAATCTTGATCATTTTCTTAAGAGAATATCTGAGAACAACTTCTTTTTATCGAGAACTGCATTTAAGAACATTCTTACGAACTTCTTAGTGTTTAGCTTAGAAACTTTCAAAGTTTTTTCTTAAGAAAGTTTTCATGAATTTGGCCCAAGGTTTTTGTAGGACAGAGACTACTCATATATATATATATATATATATATATATAATATATATATATATATATAATATAAAGCATATGATGTATATATATATATATATATATATATATAATATATATATATATATATATAAAATCCTACAAAACCAAACATGTTGCTGGCAGTGCAATTTGACACTTTGCTCCCTGTAACTCACTTAAAACTGCCCCCAGATTCGACACATGCATGTCCACATTGGCCATATCAGCATGTAGAATCAGAGCTTTCTGTGTGCTGCCTTGTTTTCTGTTACTTTATAAAAGATGTACAGTTTTTGGATGCACTGTGTGAGCGTGCTAGCTCTTTCAGAGCTCAGCTGACTGGTGTGACATGTTCCCAGCCATGTATTTCCTTGTTCAAAGGGTAGTTTGAGACTATCTGAATTCAATTCTAAGATTTTTTAAGCTTTGTTAAATCATACTTTCCAAATATTAAATAGATGCAACAGCAGCACTGAGACACCATGTTGTTTAACACAGAAGAGCAGATTAAACAGCAAAAAATGTTTTTGCCTCACCCTTAAAGGGTCAACTGAGTGCTTAAGTTTATGCAATTACTCATGACAGCCTTACAGCAGACACTGTCTGTCCTTTAGAAAAATGTAGGCATTAAATATAAGATTACATGCAGGTGTTTTATGATAATAAGCATTAGACAGAATCGATTTTATATCAAATGTTCCTCTCTTCTTTCTTTTCCTGCTGCCGGCCCGATGATGGCACTGTAGCCTGTCCAGCATCTTTAATAGCTGAGTATAGCAGTGTCCATAACTGACGGTCTACACAGTGAAAACATAAATCTAAGAACACCTTCAAGTAGCCAACAAAACTTGATATGCAATCAGTGAAGAAGCCAAATAATGGCTGTGGTGCTTGACCCCAAAAACTCCTTAAGTCATAATTAAGAACTCCTATTAGTATAAGGTACAGCACAAACCACACCTCTGAATGTGGCATACACTGATTTTAATCTTTTGCTCTGATGCAAGTCTGCTAGGCTGAAATGGTGGCAATTTTACTTGGCTTAATAAATTCAAGTGCATTTAGAAGTATGGACCATGCTTTATTTAATACCGATGTGAAGGCTTCCCTTCACCTATTGGCCCAATCCTATTTCACCCCTTTCCCCTACCACTAGGCCCTTAGCCCTCTGTTTTGCACGTTTCACACCTAGGGGTAGAGTGTCCCGATATTTGTTGAGATAGAGGGGTAGGGTGAAGTGTTAGGGCTACATTTCCCTCCAAACTGAGGTTTTTCAGACGCTCATGTCTGAAATTAATGAGCGGTGGGTGATAATAAATAATTAATCGCATCCCCCTCTTTAAAAGCATATGACGCCCTAAATGTAACTAAAGCCCAGCAGTGAGGTCGCTGAACTTTACCCTCCTCTGCTGTCACTACAGACTGGCAGGGTCGCCTACAGAGCACCGCTAGTAGCCTGTTAATGATGTTCTTTTTTATTCGAGGGTCCCATTTCGTAGGGAAGATTTCAACCACTACCCCTTGTAACTCTGTTCCAAGGGGCAAGTTGACACTCGAAAACAAGGGTTGGGGTAAAAATAAGAAATGGGATTGGACCATTGTGGAGCTTATATTATGTATGGACACCTTGAACTGTATACCTGCTGAAGCCAAGTCTGTAAACGAGCACATGAACGTCCATGCACATATACGCACGCGCACACACAAAGCTGTCAGGGAGCGACCCCCGGAAGCTATTTCATGGATGAGATAAGGATAGAGTGAGTAGATCAGAGTTTAAGGCCTTGGGTCTGGAACCGAACAGGCTAAATTAAATCTTAAATCCTCCAATCAACAGCCAAAGCAGATTAAGGCCAGTCTGCTTTCTGTTACAAATACACACAAACACATAGACAGCACAGGATGGACAAATCTGGGCTTGGTGGACGTGAGGAGAACGCTACCTGCCGGAATGCATAGTGCCAACAATAAAGTTTGGTGGAAGAGGGATAATGGGCTGGGGCTGTTTTCAGGGTTCCAGTGAAGGGTGATGTTACAATATACAAAGATATTTTAGACAATTATATGCTTCCAACTTTGTTGTTAGGGAAGACCCTTTCCTGTTCCAGCATGACTGTCCCCCCTGTGAAATCCATGACCTCCCAAATGTTCTTTGACTGAATGGGAACAAATTTCCACACTCCAAAATTCTGTGGAAAGCTTTCCCAGGACAGTGGAGGCTGTTATAGCTGCAAAGGCAGAGGGCAACTCCATATTAATGCCCATGGTTTTGGAATGTGATGTCCAACAAGCTCACATAGGTGTGATGGTCAGGTGTCCACATACATTTGGTCATATAATATATGCTATGGTAACTGGTATGGACAAGTATGCAATGTAATCACTGTAAATATTTGATAAACTGTGAATAAAACATGCCAAAAGTCTTATTAAAATACCATTATTTCTTGTTCTTACTTTGCACTACTATATGAATTCATGTCTCAAAATTATAACTCAAAGAAGCTTGGAAAGCGAATTACTTTCCGAGTGGGAATTACCAGTTGGAGGGTCATTCAAGTGAATATTTCCTACTCAGAAGTCATAAAACGTGCTGGTTCTGGTGCAATAATGAGCACAGCGTAAGAGCAAGCAGGTGCAGGAGTAGCAAAGCAGTATGGGAAATGGAGTCAGAGGAGAGGGGAGTTTTAACATGTCTAGCACTAAGGGGCCCTGGTTGGTTGGGGTGGGACAGAGAGGAAGGCAAGAGGCAGAGGCAGCCCGGGATGGCGCACGGCTCATGGGGGGAGAACTTCATACCTGCAGGGCCAGGGGCTTCCACCTCATGTTCTTTAGCAGGGCCGGGGCGGAGGTGAGCGTGCTCTGGGGACGCTTTTTCAGCGTCAGCGTCACCCCTCCAGGGTCACCGCGCAGAGAGTTTACCAAGTTTTTCAACTGCCAGCCCACCTACAGTGACAAACACAGGGTCAACATGGGACACACATACACGCACAACACCAAAATGTCATCTACTGGACAACAGAATACACACTCTCTGCCTCTTTATATTCAGCACTAGTGAATATAGAGAGATGGACCGAAAGCGGCATTCAAAGACATGCACTCACAAATGGGGCCTCGTTTTGCTTAATAAAGCCTTTCAGATGTGAAAAATGCCCTAAACCTGTGTAGAAGCAGTGTGTACATACTAACTGACACATCTATGCTCCACAAAAATTATATTCAATAAAAATTAGTCAATACTGCTACTCCTCAGTAGTCAGCCATGCACAGTCTAGACCAGCGGTCAGCAACATGCGGCTCCAGAGCCAAATGCGTCTCTTTCACTGCCCTGTTGCAGCTCCACAGCAGAATTAGAATAAAAAATAAAAATAAAATAATACTCCTTTGCAGTAAAATAAAGCTTTTCAACAGCAAATTGTCTTAAATGCTGGAGTTAATGCAGAACTGCTGAATCACCCTTTAACCTTGAAGGTCAGCGCACAGACTGCTGGTCACCATAGCAACGCCGACAACAGTCCCATCTAGCTAGTAGCTAACGAAATGGCAAAGAGAAAGATTTAAGACAAGCATCGATAATTTGGAGACAAATTATTTGCATTTTTAATCACGCCAGCTGGTTTCCTGATATGTTTAATCTGCAACGAGAAACTGTCAAACACTAAAAAGTCATGAAGCTAAAGTCAGTTTCTCGCTCACCAGCGTCTTGTTCGAATTTTCCCATTCCACCTTAAATGGTGCAACAGTTGCATAGTTAGCTACGTCTTCAGGCACCATTTAAGGTGGAACAGGACAATTTACATAAGAACCTGGCGAATGAAAAGCAACTTCAGCCTCGAAAAAACATTGAGAGACATTTTACAAGAAACTGTTCTACTTCTGCGGAAATGTTTCCTGCCAGAGATGCGAGAAAAGCAGCCACAGCTAAAGCTTAAAGCAGAGAAATGTAAATGTATTTTTGTTTATATAATGTTTTTATGCCAACACTAGGACATTAGCACATACTGAGACACACAGTCAAGATGGTGAAATATTACTTCAATACTAGACATGAAATGTTGTGGCTCCCAAGGTTAGTTTTCAACAGAAATCTAGACCATGGGCACCCAAACTTACTGTCAAACTTACTGTCTTGGGGGACCGAAGTATAATGCATGGCCATGTGCCAGCAGCTAGTTTGTTAGTTGGTGTATGTGGAGCAAGTGTGCTATCATAATATTGATGGAAGTTGATGAATGTTGTATTTTTTCAGATACTTGAAATATTATGTCCTTATATGTAGTTGTATATGGCATTTTTCTGCAAATGTCAGTGCAGAATTTCTACTTATTTGCTGAGTTTAACATGTTGGAAAAAAAATAAAACAAAATCTAAAACATGCCAAGACTTTTGCACAAGGCATGTTATGTTTTTTTTCCCCCCCAAATATGTTATATTCAGCAAATAAACAGCAATTGTGCATTAAAATGTGCAGAAGTTTGGTCTCTGTATAGGATGTGTTAACTTATTTTCACAAAACATGACATGACATTTAACCAGGGGCAGCCAAACTAAAACATAACTCCTTTTTAGTCAATATACTCAAAGTCAGAATGTGTAATTCATTTTGAATGTGATTAATTTTGTATGCATCTGAAAGGTTGTTCTTCAGCTACAACAAGTATCTACACTTCTTGGCAAAAACAAAAATGGGCCAAGCCCCAAAATATAATGGTTTTTACTGATGGTTTTGGCCTGGTCATAGTCCAGATTTAAACTCTATAGAGAATATTTGGTTTCACATTAAGCACAAACTAGCTCAGCAATGCGTGAAGCCACTGTTTGAAGCCATCAGTGCTGGGTGGAACAATACTGTCCTTTTCTTTCTGTAAAAAGGTTGTCTGCAAATTTACACACAAAACTTCAATATTTCAAGAAATCAAAGGGAATCTACCCCGTATTGAGTTACTTTGCCTATTTGTTTAATAGGTAGCTTGACCTAATTGATATAGCTTCAGGCAACAACTCAGTGCTTTTTATTTTCCATGCAAAGTCAGTGTACATGGCAGGAAAGTGTTGGTAAACCACTTCGAGTAAGACTACGATGTTAGCTTCAAATAAAAAGATCGGCAGTGGACAGATGTTTAGATTTGACCAATATTTCAAAAAGACATTAGATGATGCATCTATACTACTCTGAGATTTACAGTGCTCTACTTTGAACTAGCTGAATGCTCAGGTGATGCCGTCTGCACAGGCACATGTTATGCTTTATATTTTTCCCCAATATGATAAATTAAAGCTACTAAAACTGAAAGTATGTAGAAAAAGAACATGTTAAAGTAGCGCGCACCGCTGCGAGTGGTGCCGAAAAGCGTGAAATAATAATTTAGTCAGAGGTACCAGAACAGATTTGGCATGAGATTTTGGACCACATCATACGTCTTTATGTATTTACTTCATCCACAGGCTCAAAAAGAAGGCCTGACTTGATGCCTAGGTCTCTATTCAAAATCAGCATTACACTGATGAAGATATGATGACAATAGTAGATAACTCACTCACATCCCCAGAAGACACGTCCTTCAGATGTTTTCTTTGAATGCTCTTTCAACGCACTCACAAAGTCAGATTCATCCGCTTGTGGGTGTCCAAAGCACAACCCATGTTACAAAATGTTCGTCTGCACATTGCGCACAATTACACACTTCCACCAGAGAGGTCTCCAAATCCCCAAATCTTACATAGTGCTGCTTGAAGCAAAGTCACATTAATTGTGCATTAAAATGTGCAGCAGTTTGTTCTCTAGAGGACGTTTTCACTTATTTTCACTTAGAAAATCAACAAAACATTTTGCATGTAAATGAATCAGCACTGGCCTGGCATTGATCAGTTTCCATAAGGGCGTGTCCTTACGTTCAGGTTAGCTCATCAACCAGATATTTATCACTAAGAACTTTGATTATGTGCCAAAAACTACATAAATTATGACACAAAATTAATATTAAAACTGCATTCATTTCCAATTAAGTTAAGCACCCGAGTGGCGCAACCATCTAAGAGGTTGGCCCTATCATCAGGAGATCGCAAGTTCGATCTCTGGTGATGCTACAGCCGTCCGTGGCCAGGAGTCCAAGAGAGCACAATTGGCCTTGCTCTCTGGGTGGGTAGAATGGCCCCCCCATCAGTCAGCGTGACGCTATTCAGCGCAAGCATCTGCTAGTAACAGATCTGGTGGTTGGCGCTTTCCTCCAAGTGCGTTCGGCTGTCCAATGACGTTGCATGAGCAGCAGTTCGAAAAGATGCGGTGTCTGGCTTCGCAGGTCTCGGAGGAAGCCTGTGCTAGCCTTCGCCCTCCTAGCGTTGGTAGTATCATGTGACTGGGGGAGTCCTAACTAGTGGGTAGAATTGGAGACGACTAAACTGGGGAGAATCAAGTATGTTGAATGGGATTTTTGCCAATGTTCTGTAAAGCTTGTCCAACCTGATTACAGAACAACAGGCTGGACAGTCAATTGTTCAGATACCAAAGCTGAAACTGCATGTGATAACTATGTGCCATTTGCTTTAGTAAAACTGACCCACACTGACCACAAAGAAAAGCTACAGTGGTGAAAGCACTTGCGGCTGATATTGCTTGAGGCTCATCTAGCAGATCATTGATTATTTATCAAGTCCTTATTAAAACTCTGAGAGATGGCAGAGAAATCAATGTGGCCACAATTCTGAAAGAAAGAGGGCTCCATGCATCCACACATACTATCATCACACTTCAGGCATGTTTTACAGGCTACAATCAAACCGTCTCTGCTCAATTTACTTATCAAACAGATCTAGCAAAAATATCAATGACAACCTGAACAAACTCAAACACCCCCCCTCACTGAAACCATATTGACTATGGCAAGAAAGACACAGACACCCACAATTACACATCAAGTTTTTCCCCCAGAGCTCACAGAGACATGCAATCATGACGACAGCTTGCAGCACAAAAAGACACACTGAGATGGGCTGGACCCAGACATCTGGGCTTTCTTCTGACATCCAATCCCTGTGACGACCAATAGGGGTGGGTTGCTATTCTGAAAAATTATATCACAATGTACTTAAATCGATCCTGAGTATCATCAGTTCTTCTACAGTATTGTGCAAAAGTCAAACACCAGCTAAACAGTCATTAAGCATAAACTATTAATTTTACACTATCAGGAAAAAAGCACAATATATATATATAACAGAAAATTACACAGCAACTGAATATAACACCAATATTCTCCACTCTTTACCTTTGTTACAGCTTCCATTCTTTTCAGGAGACTCACTTTCAGTTTGTCAAAGAAAGCTGTAGAGATGTTTTTCCACACCTTCAAAGTTCAGTCCTAGACATTGGTTGCACTTTTTGCTTCTGACAATCCAAGTAATTCCAAACTCACTCAGTGATGTTGAAGTTTGGACTCTGGAGTGGTCAGTCCATCGTTCTGAGAAGACCAGCAGCTTCTTTCTTGGTTTAAAAATTTGCTCAGTGAGGTTCTTCCTGACAGCTACACATCCTTATAGACTCATAGCGCTGAGTCGTCTTCTCACAGTGGAAGGATGGACAGAAACACCTGTGGATGTTTTCAGATCTGAAGCAGTTTGATTTTCTCCTCTCTCTCAAAGACGGAAGCTTTAAGTGCTGTTTATCTGATGGGGACAGTTTTGGTGTCTACCAGGTCTTCCAGCTGGTTGTTAGGAGTCACTGTCTCTGTAACTTTCAATCGTTTTTGAACTTCAGTTTTGGAAACTCCTGCTTTTTTTCACTTGCTTTCCATTGACTTTCCTCGTTCTTATGCAAGTGTATTATTATGTCTAATCTCCTCAGAAATATCTCCTAAAAAAATTAATATCTTGTTCTTGTATGTACTTGTACTTACCATTTTCACTGGAAATTAAATAAATAAAAAGGCGGCTTCTGACATTTGTAC